AACATTGGCACAAACCTAGCCTGTATGTATTTTTTGTATGTCATCGAGAGTATTTAAATGATTTTCAATCAGAAAAAAATTTGCGATTAAAATGCGATTAATCGCGAGTTAACTTAGGCATTGATGCGATTAAAAAAATTTAATCGATTGACAGCACTAGATAAAAGTAATTTTTTTTATCTGCCGGGTCCAAAATATCTTAATATTTACTACCGGTTGCAATGCCAATGTCGACTCGACACAAAAGGATTCTGCACCAATAAGAATGGTAGGTTGAAATCATGTGAGATGAAGCTCAGGTGAAAGCCTAGTAACTGATAGAGCTGAGAAACGACTTCTTTATGCTGTTAAATTTCTGAAATTCAAGGTAGAGGGAAAAAAGTACCGTATTTTCTGGACTATAAGTCACTACTTTTTCCCCCACGCTTTAAACCAGGGGTCACCAACCATTTCAAGGCTGAGGGCTACTTCATGGCTATTTAATCATAGGAAGGGCTACCAATACTGACCTACAAGAGGGGTCAGCGTTCACCTAAATGTCATCCAAATTAAACACATTTTTATTGTTAACTTTTAATTTCTAATTTTCCTTTAAACATTTTAATTTTTAAATCTCTATAAATGCTAAAATGCCCTATATGATTACTATGATGAAATGCTCTATAAATGATTAAAAAGAAGAGTCACAGAATAAAATAGAATCTCAAACTTAGCCCACTGCTGAGTTGCTGTTTACAGAAGGCGCTGAGGGCACCCCATGTGGTCCTTGAGGGCCCCTTGGTGCCCGCGGGCACCGCGTTAGTGACCCCTGCTTTAAACAATGCGGCTAGCATTTTTATTCGGGGTGATATATAGAGCTCCCCCTACAGGTTTGGTGGGGGACAGTTCAGTAGATATCAGTGGTTTATAGCTTGGTGCGATAGCCAGACTAAATGTGAGATTAAATGTGTAATTTAGTCTGGCCCCGATGAATGAGACATCGGAAGATTGTTGATGAGAACAACCCGTTGTTTTTCAAACCAACGCCAACGCTCTGACCAATGAGCGCAACTGATTGTGACGTAGTAAGCGTGACAGAAAGCTGGTGGGGGAATGTAAACAACCAGCCTGTTGGTAAAACGGTGAATACGTCCTTCTTAAAAATGAATGAGCGTAGAGCCTCTTCCTGCTCACGTTTCAACGAAAACCCAAGTCTAATCCTTCCAGAACTGATTCCAAAGCTGAGTCAAACGAGAACTGTTCAATAGTTGTTGCCATCTTACTTATTGTGCTTTCTCCAGCGCAGCTTGTTGTGACACCCTCAAAACCCACTTTGCATCCAGAAATTCAAAATACATCTCAGCGTTGTGATTGGCCCGCCAGTTTTAAGGCCTGGGGCATTGATCGAGGCCAGACCACTTTCAGGGAAAAATGATTTTGGCCGCTGGCGGATGGGGCTACTTTACTAGGCTACTGGTGCGGCTTATATCTATATGTTTCCAGGTTGAAAAAAAATATATATATTGTGGGTGCGGTTTATACTGAGGTGTGCTCTACAGTCCAGAAAATATGGTAGCTAAAAGAGGGTGAACATTGGTCAAG